TGCATGTTCAAAGAAACATTTCAACATATTAAAATAGCACCGTGATTCTCTGATTTCTTTCTCAGCTCATTTATCATCTGTGTAAAACAGGGCTACTGATTTTTTTAGTTAATCTTTTTTTCCTGCTGCATTACTGAAAGTGTTTATAAGTTGTAGAAGTTCCTTGGTAGAATTCTTGGGGTTGCTTAGGTAAACTCTCATATCATCAGCAAAGTGAGAGTTTGACTTCTTTGCTGATTTGTATCCCCTTGATCTCCTTTTGGTGTTTTATTGCTCTAGCTATCACCTCAAGAACTATATTGAATAGATATGGAGACAATGGACAACCTTGTCTTGTTCCTGATTTCAGTGGGATCGCTGTGAGTTTCTCTTCATTTAGTTTGATGTTGGATGTTGGCTTGCTGTATATTGCCTTTATTATGTTTAAATATGTTCCTTATATCTCTGCTCTCTCCAAGACCTTTATCATTAAGGGGTTTTGTGGAAGGCTTTTTTTTAGCATCTAATGAAATAATCATGTTTTTTTTTTCAGTTTGTTTATGTGGTGGATTACATTGACAGATTTTTTTTCTCTCTTGTGGTTGGTTTTATTAGACTTTTTATGTTACCCTTTGTTTTTTTAAATTTATTTATTTATTAAAGATTTCTGTCTCTTCCCCGCCACCACCTCCCATATCCCTCCCCCTCCCCCAATCAACTCCCCCTCTTTCATCAGCCCAAAGAGCAGACAGATTTTTATATGTTGAACCATCTGTGGAGAAAAGCCGACTTGGTCACTGTGGATGATTTTTCTGATGTGTTCTTAGATTTGGGTTGCCAGTATTTCATTCAGTATCTTTGCATCATTTTGTTCATGAGTGACGTGCCTATCAAACTCTCAGCAAAATTATTCACAGAACTTGAAAGAACAATACTCAACTTCACATGGAAAAGCAAAAAAAACTCAGGATAGCCAAAATAATCTTGTACAATAAAAGAACTTCTAGAGGCATCACAATCCCTGACTTTAAACTCTACTACTGAGCTGCAGTACTGAAAACAGCCTGGAATTGGTATAAAAACAGACAGGAGGGCCAATGGAACTGAATCAAAGACTGTGATATCAATCCACACACCTACAAACACCTGATCTTTGAGAAAGAAGAAAAAAATATAAAATGGAAAAAGAAAGTATATTCAATAAATGGTGCTGGCATAACTGGATAACAACAAGTAGAAGAATAAAAATATATCTGTATCTATCACCAAGCATAAAACTCAAGTCCAAATGGATTAAAGACCTCAGCGTAAAGCCAAACACACTAAACCTCGTAGAAGAGAAAGAGGGAAGCACACATGAATGCATTGGCACAAGACACCACTTCCTAAATATAACCCCAATAGCACAGACACTGAGAGAAATAATAAATGGGACCTCCTAAAACTGAGAAGCTTCTGTAAAGGAAAGGACGTGGTCAACAAGGCAAAATGGCAGCCTATAGAATGAGAAAAGATCTTCACCAACCCCACATTGGACAGAGGGCTGATCTCCAAAATATACAAAGAACTCAATAAATTGGTCATCAAAAAAATGGATAATCCAATAAGAAAATGGAGTACAGACCTAAACAGTGAACTCTCAACAGAGGAATCTAAAATAGCTGAAAGACACTTAAGGAAATGCTCAACATCTTTAGTCACCAGAGAAATGCAAATCAAAACAACTCTGAGATTCCATCTTACACCTGTAAGAATGGCCAAGATCAAAAACACTGGTGACAACTTATGCTGGAGAGGTTGTGGAGTAAAGGGAACACTCCTGCATTGCTGGTGGGAGTGCAAGCTAGTACAGCCACTTTGGAAATCAATATGGCAATTTCTCAGATAATTAGGAAACAACCATCCTCAAGACCAAGCAGTAGTACTTTTGGGTATATACCCAAAGAATGCTCAGTTGTACCACAAGGACATGTGCTCAACTATGTTCATAGCAGCATTGTTTGTCGTAGGCAGAACCTGGAAACAATCTAAATGCCCCTCAGCTGAAGAATGGATAAGGAAAATGTGGTATATTTACACAATGGAGTACTACATAGCAGAAAAAAATGACATCTTGAAATTTGTAGGCAAATGGATGGAGCTAGAAAACATCATATTGAGTGAGGTAACCCAGACCTAGAAAGACAAATATAATACGTACTCATGGATAAGTGGCTTTTAGATGTAAAGAAAAATCAGCCTATAATTCACAGTCCCTGAGAATCTAGACAACAAAGAGGACCCTTTGAGAGATGTACATGGGTCTAATTTACAGGAGAAGTAGAAAAAGACAAGATCTCTTGAGTAACTTGGGAGCATGGGGATCATGGGAGAGGCTAGAAAGAGAGGGGGAGGAAGGAAGGGGAACAGAGAAAAATATATAGTTCAGTAAAAAAAAAAAACACAATAAAAAATAACAAATGAACTAAGAGGACATAGAAACTGAGTGAATTTACAGCCTCGAGGAGAATGCATTTGACTAGAAATACATTGCTGAAAGGTGAGAAAGGGAGGTTAGAACGGGGAGATAATTTCATCCATACAAGGCTGTGACTCCCGTGTCTGTCTATCCCTAAGACAAGTCCTATATCCAAGTCACATCAGCAGCCTTCACAGGCAACACAACTGCCCTGGTAGACTGTGTGCAGGTACAGCGAGAATGGACAGGTCTCGGGAGAGGGAACTACTGCAGCCGGAAGTTACTTTAAAACCAGAAAAATCACCAGACAGTGATGGCCCACGCCTGGAGGTGGGGAGGCAGAGGCAGGCAGATCTCTTTGAGGTTGAGGCCAGCCTGGGCTACAAGAGCTAGTTCAAGGACAGGCTCCAAAGCTGTGTAGAGAAACCTTGTCTTAGAGAAAAACAAAAGCAAACAAACAAAAAAGAAACCAACCAACCAACCAAACAAACAAAAAGCAGAAAAGTCAAAGTTAGGCACAACCAAAATCTAACCCCAAGAAGCCCCAAGATATTAAGATGCATTTTCTCTTGGCTTTGCTTAGCAGTTCTTACCAGTGACCTGAGTACCCTGGAGGTCACCATCAACCAGATCACTCCTGTCTTGTGGCTTCATCAGTGGTACAGGGGCTTCCACCCATAGCACATTGCTTGCGTATATACTGCTGAACATTTCCATTCAAACAGGAGGGAATGAATTGGGAAACATCGTTTCTGTGTGAACCAGCTTGCTGGGAACTTTTATTACTTGGCGTGGTTCTGGGTCTTTCTCCCAGTCCACCTGGTTGCCTCATGGCAGGATCAACTTTGAAATGGAACAGGAGAGCAAACTGCCTTCAGATCTCCCTGGTTGTGCACGCATCACTCATGGCCACATCAATCCACACCTTCCAGGGATTCACCTTAGTGGGGAATCTGAAGGTGTGGTAGTATAGTGGGAGAAGAGAGGGGCAACCTCTCCCTTGATCAGCGCTCACTGCAGGCATGCCCTGACATACCACAGCACAAACCCATATGCACGGCAATCATTTGTCCACAGAATCACAACCAGAGGAATGTTTGTGGTTCTTCGAGATGTCTTTCTTTTTCTTTTTTTCTTTGCAAAACTGTGGCTATGAAATGATATCCAGCACAATTCCAGTTAAAATTTGTTAACCAAATTTAGTAATTTATTTTCATAACTGTGATAAAGCTCAACTATCAGCTAATGAAGAAATGATTAGGAGAAAATAGACGCCCCTCAGAGTTTGCCAACTATTTTTCTGTTGAGCACATAATGTTGTCTAAGACTAAGAACCTTATATGTGTGCTTTGCCACAGAGGAAAATTTATAATTTAGTTACCAATCTCATTATCTGATTTAGCAATTTACAATTTTATATGGTATGAATAATGATGCAACATATTAAACTTAATAATTTAAAACTAAAGATTCCTAGAGAAAAGTGGTCCATGCCTTCTTTGGTATTGTCATGGGGGAACCAGACAGCCATCTCGTGATGGACGCTCATTAAGCAATCCCCTGTGTCCTTCTGTGCCATCACGGGGGAACTGGGGAATGACTCACGAATTTTCCTTTGATTTCACAAAGTGACAATCAAAATAATAGCTTGATTTTACCCACAAATTACTGTTTCACTGGAGAAAAAATAGAGATTGAGGACAAAGGAGAGGTCACCCTGAGTGTCTCTGGCAGCACCCTACTCAAATGACGTCAGCCTAGACATGGAAAGTTTGGAGAACAGGTTGACTTTAGTCCCCCCAACCTGACTTTGGAAAAATAAGTGAGAACAGTATCTTTCTGCCTTGCAAGCCCTCCTCGTCTATCATGCCAGGGACCTTGGTACAGCAGGAGTGGATGTGAAGACAAAACATGGGTGGGGTGTGACAGCTAGCGACAGGAGTGTGTAAGGTGCTCCTTCCTTCCAGCTGTTCTCCACACCCCCTGCCCATTAGGGATGTGAGATCTAGTATTTGTGAGACTGACAAGACCATCTGTTTCTAAGACTATGGAGGTGATTGGTCCTAACGTTCATCCCCCGTGCGTGAACATCTCCTGCAGCAGTCTGGACATCCCCTTGGTCTGTCTCCCAGCACAAACTCTCACAGGTGACGGTGCCAAAGTTACTTCATAAAGCTCAACAGCTCTTGTGTTAATTTACCTTTTCAGGTGCACGATCCTCAGCTAATAGAAGAAGAGATGAAGAGAAAGGGAAAGGGGTGGGGCCTTTCTCATGGATCATGGGAAGCCCCAAGCTCTCTGCATGCTGAGCATGGACTCACGGGTGAGAATGTGAGGCTGATCATAATTTGTGCCTGTTTGCTTGATGTTGCCACCACTGTGACACAGAGCGACTTATGCTGTGAGAACTGTCCAGGAGATGGAAGGCCATGGGGAAGTAAGAGGAAAGAAGGTAAGGATGGCATGCACTATATCCCCAGACACCTACCCACATGTCTTCACTTGCACTGGGTCTCTAAAGAAGCCCTCTTAGACAGCACATTGTGAAAAAGGCAGGCATTACCTTCTGTGTCGTGCGTATTTGCCACTGACGTGACCACTGCCATCGCAGCCAGGAGTGGGACAGCTGCAACAGGAAAGAGCTGATTACATAGCTGCATGGGCTTCTGTGGGCACTGATGGTGGTAGGCCTCAGAGAGAGAGAGAGAGAGAGAGAGAGAGAGAGAGAGAGAGAGAGAGAGAGAGAGAGAGAGAGAGAGAGAGAGAGAGAGAGAGGGGGGAGGGGAAGAAGGGAGGGGAGGGAAAGAGCACTGACCAAGGGAGGAGATGCAGGGATGCTTCCTGTCTACAGTTTCAGGGGAGTTAATTTCACCACTGTGACAGGCTATGAGGATGCTGCCAATGAGTGCCTATGTACAGTGCCCCCCTTCAGAGGCCCGAGCTTTCTCAACCACCGCTGGGAACACCTTTCCCCCACAAAGCACTGACCTGAACAGCTCTTGTATGGCTGGCTCCACCGGAACTGCGGAAAGACGGGAAACAAACATTTACTGTGTGTCATCGGCACTCTTCTCCCATGGATAACTGCCCAAATGGCAGTAGTGTCGGGGGTCAAAGTGAACTGTCACAGCAGCTCCTCGGGATGAAGGTCCCCATCCAACCTCAGAGACATGGCAAGTGCCAACTCACCTCGAACCCCTTTGGACCGTGTGCGATGGCGCTTCTCCTCAGCGTCCACGTCCATCTGGGAAGAGATTTTCAAGTGGTCAGTGCCCTTGTCCTGTGCATGCAGACCAGCTGTATATAACACTTCTGACTATCCCTGGTACTGTAGTTGCCTTAATCCTTAATCCTGTGTAGTTCTATAAAGGAAGGCTCCACAGGGTGGCATGGGCAAGCAGGGGCTGAACAGTCTGCAGTGCGTTTGTCTAGGAATGGTAAGTGGACCTGGATCTAGCAATCACTAGGTCTCTGCATGCTGCAGCCACAGACTTGGATGACTCTTCAGGGATCCAACTCTCCTCCTGAGGATTGAATTAGGACACCTTTGGTTGCCTGCACTGTATTTTGTACCAAGAACATAATAGACACCCATTATGTTTACAAGAAGGCAAAAAGTATCAAGATTTTCCTGGTAACCAACTGGGTTAATATACCAAAGAGTTTGTTACTCATGCCACTGGAGGCCTCATTCCCATGTTGCTCAGTCTAAACCATCCAGGTTCTTTTTAGGGCCACAGATTTTGCCTGTGGCAGACACACTATATGCGTGGTATTGACATGGAAAGGAAGCCCCAGATGACATCCTGCTGGCCTTTCTCCTCTCAGATACACCCTTTGTCATGTTAAGAGTCCAGGTTCTACTTCATTAGAACCTTGTGCCAATCTTGTAAGAGAAATTTTATGTTTCTTTCATCTTTGGAAAAATCTTGCAGTTCTGAACTCAGGGATGGCCAAGTCATATATGCTGTAAAAGTCCCTTTTCACCATAGGGATGAACAATCCTAAGGTTAATATTTACTAATATCTTAATAAATACCAAGTATTTCCATAATATATTAATTGATATTACTGTTATTAATACAATGAATATAAATTCACTCAATAGGCATATACATAATTCTAGTCAATATAGCAGAGGGTCTGATAAGAGGCTGACAGTGATAAGACACAAGCAGTAAAATCATCTCTCAGGTTATTTGATAATTTGCTAACTCCATCTGTGATTTCTTTGCCATGTCTCGTATGGACAGACTGATTCCTGGGCAGAAGGTGGCAGACATAATGGCATATTCCATGCCTTGTCCAATGTACCATGTATCAAATCCACTTACTCCTATAAAAAAGACACATTAGAATAGAGCACCCCATAGATGCACATGACCTGGCTAGAGGCATACCTTAGGGGGTGGACCTGCTCTTTGCTCAAACTTGGAGCATCTGCACTGACTCTCCATTGATACAATGTGGTGGCATCAGGACAGCGCATACAATAAGAAACATAAGCTCATCCCGTGAATTGAATATCTATTCACAGGACCTGTTTGCTTCAGATCCAGCTCTGCACCTGGTTTAACATATGAAGGATAGCCTCAAAAAGGGAAGAGCTCTTGGTTAGTGCATGCTCATAGAATGCTACGCTACTTGAGAATCCCACGTCCATGTATGGGAAGAGACTGTGGCTTATCCCTGAATAAAGATATTTGAAGTTAATGGATGGGTAGATAGGTAGGTGGGTGGGTGGGTGGATCCATTTTCTGAGAAACTGCAGGCCTAGTGGTAACAGATGACAGGTAGTGTATTGAAAGGAACATCTCCCCCCTTGAAGGGAACACCATGAGGCCAGTAGTCATTAGAAGGGGGACAGTGGCACCGCTGTTCACAGGCCATGGTAGCCTGAGTAGGGTGCATAGTAGACACGTAATGGGAGAATGAATGACTTAGCTGCACTCTGAGAAGATGGACGAAGAAGACTGGGCTAAGAGGACTTCCTGGCTGCCTAGACAGCTGCTGCCCAGCTAACACTATGGGCTGGTACCTTATTCCTCGAATATGACTGTCTAGAGGAGAAGACATGGATGCAATAAAGGTACACAAGATGCTGTTGGGCGTTTTTTGTAGGGTACAGGAGTTTCTCAGGCATCTTTTGGGTCTCATACTACCATGGCCTCTCTCCAGTTGGATCCTATTGCCTCTAAATGCTGTCTTAGTGCGGAGCTGTAGTTGAAACAGCACCCAAAGGGAAAGACATATAGAGGCTCTGTAATTGTGATTTAACATGAGATTTTTCAAAATAAAGCAAAATCTCAGCAAAGATGTAGACGGCCAATGAGGCAAGTGAGTGATGCCTGTCGTAAGGGAACACTTCATGTTCTGTAGAAATGGTGTATCTTTTAAGACCCTGTGAAGTTATCCAGTGGGAAGGGACATGGAAAATCCTATTCTTTTTTTTTAATTAATTTATTTTTTATATATATTTTTTATCGAGAATAAGAAAAAAGTTTCTGCCTCCTCCCAGCCTCCCATTTCCCTCCCCTTCCCCCCATC